TATGTGTGTGTGTGTGTGTATGTGTGTGTGTGTGTGTGTGTTTATTATTTTTGGTTCATTTTCCCAGTTGAGAAAATAAATTTTATGTCTGTTAAAGATTTTAACTATATTACATTAAGGTAATTGTGTCCACTTTTATAAATATTATAATATAATATCATATATAATTATATGTACTAGCATGTAGATGATCTGGATAAAAATATGGATAAAAAGCTGCAAAACTCATTTATTTTCATAGCAAGAAATCTATCATGCAAATTCAGCATCTCTGTATTATTTGCAATAGCTTGCTATTTTTACGCATATTGTAAAACACTAAATTGAGAGATCTATACAGATCCCAGTCTTAAATTCTATTGTAAAGTGTCTTTCTGACTCTGAATGAGCACTTGAAGTGAGAAAGGTGCAGGTCAGTGCTATCTCATATGTGCACTTTTGGTGCACTCTGCACAAAGACATATGTCACTTTATATAGAGATCCACCAATCAGCGACCTCTCTGTTACTGAAGCAAAAATCTTCGCAAAGGCAGGAACAATCAGCAGTTCACTCCCATAAAGCATTGTGAATGTTGTGCCAGCCTGCACTCCCAAACATGTACTTGTACAAATCTGAATATAAACTTAAAATACCTTAAAAATAAAACTCAAAATACCTTTAAAATATGTTCAAATACTGTATTTAATCTTCTTAATATATACTGTATTTGGATTGCTTCAGCTAAACCCAGATTAGTTTGGTTGATGGTTTAGAACTTTTTTTTTTAAATGCCCAAATGTGAGCAAACTATTGATCTGAGCTCATTTATGACTGGACAGTAATATCTTTTGTTTTCATGATAACTATGTAAAAACAAAAGTTTTTTTGTTGTTTTTTACTCTTAAACAGAATACACAAATATATATTGCATCACTGTTGTCCTGAGCCTAATATCTGCTTTTTTACTCCATATTCATTTCTTATGCACTGATATTTATAGGCAATCATTCTTATGCTGTCGCTGACTATTGCATAATATTTGTTGGTGATTATTTTCACTGCAAAACTGAGACTGAGGCTGAGATGTTCCTTAATGGCACAATGATTCCATATGCTTGGTAATAATCTTTACAATATGCTGATGGATTCATACCTGAAAAATTGCAAATTTAAAAGAGGACGTTGCATTGTGATATACTTATTACAGTTATCCAAAGCATGCTCAGCTGAGTGCCAGCTGTTTCCCACTGTTCTTGACTAAATCACAGATGCAGTGCATTCTCAGGAACAATAAAAGGCAGTCCACTAGTTGTTCACAGATACAGTTGTTACTGGAAGTGAAAGCATACTTTGTCATGCCATTGTAACAAATACACTCTTGATCTTTACATCTTATTAATACATTAAAATGATAAATAAGTCTGCTGTATTTCTCATAGGGGTTTGTACACTGCAAAATAAAACAATCCTAGCCATGTGAAAACAGAATTGTGCTTAATTGTACTGTGCATTTGTAGTGTGCTTAAAATCTTAAAAGTAATTTTAAAAATGTACTTGCAAATAGTATAATATTAATTAAATAAAAGGTCACTTAAGTGTACTTAAAGCAATAGTTCACCCAACATTTGCTGAAAATGTAAAAGACAACAACAGGGGACGTTTAAAGTTAAAACACCTTAAAGATGGATGGGTTTCCTGCAAACAGGCAGCTTTACACAAGACATTAGTTAATGGATTGGAGTCATGTGGATTACTTGTGGATTATTGTGATACTTTTATTAGCTGTTTGGACACTGAATATCTAATGGCACCCATTCACTGCAGAGGATCCATTGGTGAGTATAAGTAATGTAATGTTAAATGTTTCCAAATATGTACCGATGAAGAAACAAACTCATTTATATCTTGGATGGCTTGAGGGTGAATAAATTGTCCATCCTTTTATGAACACATCTTGTGATGGCTACTTCCAGCAGGATAACACACACATTTTTTTTTTTTTAACATGACATGAGTTCACTGAATTCAAATGGCCTCCAAAGTCACTAGATCCAAACTCAAACTCAATCCAATAGAGCACCTTTAGGATGTGGTGGAATGGGAGATTTGCATCATGGATGTGCAGCTGACAAATCTGCAGCAACTACGTGTTAATATGGACCAAAATCTCTGGGGAATGTTTCCAGCACCTTGTTGAATCTATGCCACGCAGAATTAAGGCAGTTCTGAAGTCAAAAGGTACTAGCAAGGTGTATCTAATAAAGTGCCTGGTGAGTGTAGATGTTAAATGACTATGTTTTACTGATCATTTGTTCAGCTTTAAAGAATTACACCTCCTTGACGTGTTGACTAACATACGAATGCACATGTACTTGATTATAATTTTAAGTGTAATGTATCATTTGATATTACATTTATGTAAAATGTATTTATTCTCATACTAACTTGCAACTTCCTCATTACAAATGTGTAATTACAAATATATTTAAATACATTACATACAATTTCATTTCTAATACATTTTCCCTTAATTATAAGTGCCCGAAAACATTACATTCAGTTTGCATTTAAGTTCATTATTTTAAAATATATTATTTCTATAATAAGTAGGCTTAAGTACTATTTTGGAAAGTATGCTAAAGTGTCATTCTTTTTCACAAGGTCAAACCTTGTACAATCTACCCTAAAATAAACAACTTTTAATCTTTACACTCCAACCACCTGGCTTCCTTCTATGTAATGCCACTTTTCATATATTTGCTAAGAATTACATAGTACTAAGATTATTAGATATGTAGTGTATACATTATATGGAAGTTAAATGTGTCAGTTTATGTCATCAAAGATTATATGGGACAAGATTAGTGTAGAATGTGTGATGCATATTGCTGTCAGTCCTGCTGGTGTAGTTCAGAGAAAAAACACCAACCCAAAATCCATTTTCTTCTTAATGAGGTAATTTATCATTTAGCAGCATGTGTGAAGGAACAAAAGTTTTAGAGCCTTATCATTATACGTTACATTACTTTGTCATACAAATATGTGTTTTGAAGTTTCAAACACAAGAATGTGCCTTTTTTTCCACCTTGGTCAATGAAAATTATGTGTAATGTTTTGTTCTTTCTTTTTAACTCTATCTATTAATCCTAACTTTAACCATGGGAACAACTGTTAAACTGAGCTGAGATCAGACTCTTACCGGTAGCTGAACACTTACAGTTAAATAAATGAAAATAAAAATAATACAAGAAAGAAAGAAAGTGTGTTTGCGTCTGCCAGCAACCTAATGTATGCATAAGGCTTTATGTACTGAAAGTAATTTTAATAGGTACCGCTAGATGGAATTTAATTTATACCAGTCAGATGAGACCATGCCAACATAGTATGCACGTTTTTATCAGAGTATGCCAAGCTGAACCAACAGCATCAAAAAAGAGACTGACTTCATTAAAAGGTGTAGGTGTATAAAACTCAATGAATAGAGATTATATCATTGTCCTTTCAACCTCTTCTGTTTTTCTGCTGAAATCAAAATAAGGCAAAATCGTTCCACCCTCAGTCAGGCACCATTAGCAAACATTAAATAAAGCTTGTGAGTGTATCTGCATATAGATGTTGTCATTGATTTCAATTTACTCTTGTTTTGATTCCTCAGCAGGGCTTTGTGTCAATCTTAAGTCATGCATAGCCGATTACGGCTGGTAAAGTGCACACTTTTGTAGACCTCAGTAAAGCCAAATAACTCTGACGAGCTGGGAATGAAGCAAGCTAGGAAGTGGCATATGAATGAATGCAGGCCTGTGTTGATTAGTTCTCTATTTGACCGTATTGTCAATAAATCTACATATGTAACATCAGAAACTGACAGATACATTCTTCTTTGTTACCTTGGGTCATTCTTAAATGCTTCTTCTTAATGATAAATCCTTTCTTTTATACATCCATCATTTTAAAGTTACTCAAATCACTGATCTATCCATCACCAGTGCCGGTACAATATGATGAAGATAAACCTAATGAAGAATTCTCACATTATGAATCTTTAAAGGAACAGTTCACTCAAATATAAATTCTGTCTTTATTTAATCACCCTTACATCATTCAAATCTTATATGCTGCTATTTTTCTTTTCTACAATTAAGAACATTTTGAACTTCATGCAGCTCTTTCCCTACTAGTGGCATGCACGGTAGAGAAAAGTGCCCTTTTGGTCTGATCTAGGCGCTCTCAGACCATGATTTCTACCAGGGGGGCCAAACCCAACCCGACCCCGATTTCTACAGAGGGGGAACCCCCACCCCCACTGTATCACTGATTATAATAGTTGATATTAATAGTTGATATTTTGAAATTTTTTTTGCATCACATCGTGTTATGCCTCTGCCGTCTTACAAGAAAAATATATTTCAGTCTTTCTACTTAATTTCTTGCTTAATTCAATGTGTTACTCGCTGTTTCTTTGTAATTATTTGTGCCATTTCCTAGTAATTTCTATCTGATTTTTTATTCAAATGAGATAAGTTCACATTACTAATAATTATTGTTTGTAAATTGCATTTACTCAATTCATAAGGTATATTTCAATGATATCAGAGCTTTAAAATTTACTCATTATTTTAAGTGTAAAATATAGTACATCATAGCATAGGTTTTTAGAGTAGAAACAACATTAGACTCCATCCAAGAGAACACATCAGCAAAATCACCTGATGTTGAGTAGATGATAAAATTAGCTATGATTAAGCAGTACGAACAGTCGAACAGGGGCTCAGAACAAGGATTTCCAAACAGCAGGGTAACAATAAGCAGGTGTTTCTATACTAGCAGATTTTTAGAGTAAAAAAGTTGACAGTACACAGATGGGATGTGGCATCTCTGTGAATTGTTGGCACTCACTGAGCATACAAAATATGGCTAAAGATGAACACAATCTATCTCGGCCATCTGTAAGTTATGGCATTTTCATTTAGTTCAGGAAGTATATGTGAATTACTATAAAAAGAAAGCTTTAGTATCTATATATGGACATTTATCTTCTGTAGTGGTGCATTTGTGCCTGCCATTGAACCTAAAAGTGTATCCCACTCAGGTCCATGTTTAGGTGAGGTTTGGAATAAAATTCAATTTCCAAACTTGTCATGCTCTCAGGGTCAGATGAAATCCTTCCTCTAAATGTTAATTTGTATGCATGTGCTCACAGTACGAAAAAGCAGTTAGTTTTAACTTTAGATACAGGACATACAGTCGTTCCAAGTGGAGTCCATTTTTATGGTTAAATGCACAGTTGTTACA